TTGTAGTTACGCCGAATACAACCCTTCTATGGCGATAAGTGACTACAGTCTTCTTTTCCTGATGTATATCACGCCACCATAAAAACTTCAAAAAATTGCGATCTTCTTTATTAATTGATATTTGGAGAAAGGCCTTTTTAATATCAGCTACTATTCCTATAGAACCATGCCTAAATTTGATAAGCAACGATGGAATTAATTCAATATAATTAGAACCTTTTTCTAAACACTCATTCAATGACAAACTTTCTTTATTAATACATGCAGAAGCATCGAACACGGGCCGAATTTTTGTAGTGAGACTAGACTCGCGAACTACTGCATGGTGAGCAAGATAGTGTCCTGAGTTATGATCTGGTTCATCAACGACTTCTATAATAGATGAATCTAACCACTCCTTAAACTGTTCATTATACTCTTTCATAATACCTAAACGAGACAAACGTATAGTGGTAGATTTTAATCGTTTTAGAGCTAGGTCGTAATTTGTGGGTAAATTTATAGATATATCCTTCCAGGGCAACTTTACCTCATACCTATCTTCCTCATTAATGGATATCGTATCTTTAAAGAATTGTAATACTTCTTTTTCTCTCTCTGTCTGTTTTCTAACTTCCGGTTCATCTTTAATACCTATAGTTTCTAAACTCCATAGATCCTCTAAGTTAAATGTACAAGATAAACTAACAAGACTTTCTTCAGCAACATGAAACATATTAGATATTGGGCCTTGTATTGTCCAACCTAGCTTAGTTTCCATAGCAACAAGATTACCATCTACATTTATCATACGCCCAGTAAACAAACTACCTAAAATATCGGCTCCTATCAAAATGCTCACTTCATTTATATCATCAACTATATCATTTAATACAACACCCTGTCTTTTTAATTTAGACAACAAAATAGGTTGTTTTAATTTAGGTAAATCATTGCAAATATTCATTTTCTCTATTGCTTTAATGTTACATTCGTATGTATTAGTAGGATCTTTAATAATAAATTGAAATACATTATGTGGTTCCCGTTTCGTAACTACACCGCCGAATAAACTGTGTGAAATATGTACCTGACCACATGGTTTCATTTTCAAATTATTTACCACACTACTTTTTATATAAGAGTGTTGAGCACCCGAATCTAACAGAGCTCGTACTATCATGGTTTTATTATTGTACCACAAATTAATTTTCAAAGTTTGTAATAAAACAGTTGTATTAGTAGGGATCAAAGAAGACTGATTAGATAGAACTTGTGTTTCAGAGCTATTACTGCATTGAATTTGCGAATTAACTATTTTATTATTATCGCACATTAAAGTATAATGCCTCTTTGTACAAATAATACATCTCGGGAATTTCCTACAAGTTTTAGTTGTATGTCCCGATTTTAAACAAATAAAACAAGCACGCTTACCTTTTAAAAACTCCTTGCGTTGATCTAAATTCATTTTCATAGCATTCGTACACTCGGAGCTCACATGCGATGGCTTGTCACAGAAAATACAAGGCTTCACGATGCTAGGCTTAGAAATATCATAAGTATTATTGTTACTACTACTAGAACTATCTACACGTGTCGTTAAGCAAGAGGCGGTAAATTTTGAAGAACTACTCTGACTATAAGCTAAATGAGATATTTTAATACGTTCCTCGCTCTCTACTTCTTGCTTAATGAAATTAAGAAGGTCATTTAAAGTGTCAGACTGATCCTTTTTACTAGATTGAGTTCGTTCCCAAATACGAAGCAGTTCTATGGGCATAGCGGACTCGACTAAAGGACGTAACATAGACGCGTATTTATCTGTAGTGACATTCAAACTATCTAAAGCATGCAATTGAGTTTTAAGTTTATCATATAATACTCCAATTGGCGTAGCACTCCCTCTTGATTGATCCAGAACTAGGGACAACAGCTCACGAACATATATTTCAATTAAAAGATCGTCACGACCATATCTTTCTTTTAGTTGTTTTATAGCTTTCTGATAATTAGCACTTGAAGGCGGAAAGCTTTCTACTAGTATTGCGGCAGGAGATCCTGGTTCCATCGATTGCAGTAGGTACTGGAACTTCATATTATTATCTATGCTGGAATCTTCATGGATCTTTTGGAACATCCCCCAGAAGCCTATCCACTTCTTCACATCACCATCATAACGAGGAAGCTGAAGCTTAGGAAGCCGCAAGATATTTTTTACAACGGCATCCTGGGCGCAACTCTCTTGAATTTCACTTCCAATATTACTTTTGCAACTGTTCGTAATATCAAATGCATTTTTATATTTCTTTTGCATCAAAAACCATTTATCATCATACTTCTCAATTGATATAATATCCTCTTCATATTCGCTTTCGTCTCTGTCTACCAAATCTATCCATATATCTAATACTTTATTGTTAATAGCAGACAACTTTTCATATTTGGCGGTAAGATTAGCGAAATTGATTTCGGAGGCATCTTTATCCTTTTTGACTAAAGATTCTTCTAATTTACTTACTGCGCTACTAAAGAATCTTCGGGCCAATTTTCTCTCCTCTATAGCTCTCTGCATATTGTATTATACTGCACGGTCGCCAGTTTATGTGATGGATAATATATTAATAAAATAATAAATTATAAAATCATATATTTTCTTATGTCATTAAATTTTAACTTTTTTTTTTTATTTATTTATTTGTGGCCAGCAATAATTATCATAGTCCACAACAGTTTGCATATAACAGAGGATTATACACAAATTATACTACATTTAATTCACATAAGTTGCGCTTCTCGTACCGGCAAATATGTTTAATATGACTTTTATATGTGTTACTTCTGCAGGAGCAATGTGCAGGTGACGAAATAAAAATATCTATCAAATAGGCTTTAGATTGTCATTTTTTTACACTTTAAAAATCGCTACACTTTAAAATAATTTTCGAATGGAAAATTAAAATAATATTTTTTGATATGGTTAATTCTATGATATGATTATGGTTAATCCTGACCTTATACTGTACAAGGTCAGGATTTGAGGAACAAACTATACTTAGATATATATTTCAATAGCAGTTCTCTGTAAAATAGGGGAAGATTTTAGAATAAATAAATACTGAATATTGTGTGATCAATTTTAGTAGAATCAAATATACAATTCGCTTTTAAAAATGATTTACTTTTTCATGGTTTCTATATCACACATGCATCAAGCTAATATATATCGCATAACCTAATTCTATTTTTACTGACTGAAATGGCGATTGAAATTTGAAACTATGATTGAAGTCTGGTAAGTGGTATAATAAATATTATCTCAGGACAATTCACACAGCGCCATGTAGTGCCACGCTGACCAAAGCTTGAGTTATTGGTACTAGACAACTAGCATAAATACATAGATAGATATATAGTGTCTTTTTTCTAAATACATACATAATATACATAGAAAACATCCAAACTGATACAAATAATCACACTCATGAATACAAATGTTTGAACCACGCGAGGAATCGAACCCGCCACCATCGGAAGTAGACGGTATGCTAAACCGTTAAGACAACCCAGGCCGTCAAAATACAAGATGGCTACCGGGAAGACCGCGTGAAGATAGAAATGAGAGTCTATCTCTCTCACATAGCAGTCATATTGTGCACATTTGTTTACTAAATTATAAAATCACATACTAATAAGTAAATACATCAAGGACGTGTATGTAAAATGAGTTAAACATCAACAAACTATCTTTAAAAGGTAATGAGCGGTTTACTATTCCAACGACCCCAAAACTTTATATTCCTGATTGACTTCTCCGGTGATCGAAACACTGCCACATTAAACTAAATGCCCAACGAATTCTAGGCTTTGCGTTATCTTCATCATGATATCGATAATTGACTTCAGCACTGACTACCCATCTGGTATAAGTCGTGATGGTATATCCATTATATTCCATGATAATTAATTTATTCTTATAACCTTATTACTAAATTATGAAATCGTATCAGTGCTATCAATCACAGTTCGTAAATGGTCATGTATCCACGTGACTATTTAAAACAAAATCGAACTTGAATATGTCAATTTAATTTTATCATTATAAAATTACATCTATTAGGCAAATTAAATGAACGAAGAGAAATAACAACACCAAACTTTTATCTATTTATTCATCAACATACATAATAATATCTACATTTGCACAAATAAAGTATATTAAATTAGAATCCCATCAGTTGGCGGTATTTAACAATGATGTAATACTTAGTCGTTTTCGATTTGTCCGACATTATGGACAGAACTTTGTGCCTTATAATAAACACCTATATTTAGATTTTCAACCAATGTTCTATTATATGGCATTCAGATAAACACCTATACTTAAGTTTTTATGGATATGATTTTATTAAATACAATAAATTAGCAAACAGGTAAGCAAACTAATATTTACAATTGGGAGTAACTAATTTGTAATTTTTAATGGTAGTTTTGATAGTAGGAAATATTGAAATATCTGATTACTTTCCATAAATACATAAAGTAAAAGAACTAAAGTAGTTTTGTACATAACTCTCATGCTTTTATACTGCAAATGACAATTTTATCAGAAAAGTGAAATATTTTGCCTCATTCTTTTTATAAAAAAGAATAAGAAGTTTTAAATTAATTTCTTTAACTTTAGGTTTATTAATTTATTGTATTGTGATATGAAACATTTAATCTAAAAACTATTGCAACACATGGAAAGTTAAATCAATGATAAAGCAGTATGTTTATGTACAATTATCTATGGGGCTCTTGACTTGACAAACCAATCTAATTGCCACAAAATTTATGTAAGCTCTCATGGAATGTTTAAGCTTTCCTTATAATGACTAAATACAACATTGCTTTGTTTTTATAATTGGAATGGCAAATTAGCTGGTAACACACCTGATGGCAAGTGGTAACTACATACATCATCTATATACATGAACAGCACTATGGACATATCATTAATATGTATGCCCACAATACTGTTCATGTATTGCCATTTTGCAACACTAAGATGTACCTGTAATTCCATTTCCTTATATCACTTTACAACTGAAACACAGCTCACGAACCTGCTTGGCGGCTGAAATATGTGAGACTGAGATACCCACACTGAAGACTTGACAGTCTCAGTTAAACTGTTGAGTAAACATCACCTACCTATTATTAATGTCTGTTAAAACATCTCAATTATTAGCACATTAGTTGAAATATACAATATGTATTTAGTCATATAAATTTGGATATTGTAATGTAAATATGTAGTTCAACAAACTCTAACATGGTTATACAGTTGAGTTAAAAACACTCCAAAACAATCAAAACCTGTTACAAATCTGATACCTTAGCACAAAATGCAGTAATGTAATAGAAGTCTAAATAACATCAATTTACAACTAGTTAATATGAAAGATATATTTTCAAATTACTTTATATATTAGTGCCAAGATCAGATTTTTTATACAATAGTTCATCAACATAAAAAAAAAGTACAGTACACATAGTATGTTGGTAACCAAACATACAAAATTCAATACTATAACAATATGGATTTTAAGCTTCGCTCCTGTTATATATTTTCATGGTTTTCACGCAAGCACTGTATATGTCAAGGTTTGGATCAAGGCTGGAGCGACCAAGTGCTATTGTACACTGCAAATAAAAAGTATTAATTATAGAATCAATACTAAAACATTTCATTGATAGCATTATATGATAATAACCACTATGTCACATGGCTATACCACACAAACTGTTAACATAAGAAAAAATATACATATAGTTACTATGAAATAAACATAATGTAAACTTAAAACTTAATAGTAATAAATAAATAATTATTATGTCCTAGACATGTATGTATATAAAGACTTGCAATATAAAAAATCTTAAGTCACATGATGCTCTAGAAGTCACTGTCAGTGTTAGTGATGTTATATGTAATGACATAACATTAATGGTCAAGTTTATAAATCATATTTAAAATATCAAATTCAATTCACTTTTATTACAACAATATAATGTCAAGTACCCATCCATTTGTTCATGTTAATACTAGAGACAAATATAACATATTAGTAAAGGAAAATATGACTCACTAGTAATTAAATTAAAATGAACATTGAAATATTCACATTTTTATAGCTAAATACAGCTGATGTAGGACTGCAATTTAGGCTGCAGTTAGTAGTCAGTCTATATAATGATAGAATTTAAACCAATAATCAAAACAGTGATATAACCTTAATGTTGATTACTGCAAACTTTTACAGATTATTTCAGATTCACACTGGAAAGGACTCCTCAAAGTTACATCTTAAAATTTTGATATATTCTGTTATTACAAACACATAATACAGTAAAATTATAAAGCACACATTGGGTAGGTATATTAAACGTACAAATAAATATTTCAATACTTACACTTAAATTCAAGTATATACTCCATCTTAAGTTACTGGTTGCCCATTTTGACTTTTGATGTCATGTATATACCAACAATGAGACCAAAAAGACCAATGGCTGATCCGAAAATTTCTACAATTAGAATCTTGACGAACAATGCAGCGTTCGCTGCATCAGCAAGAGCCGCACCGGACCCCACGATTCCGACGGCAATACCACAGAATAAGTTGACCAGGCCCACTGCCAGTCCGGCACCAAACATCACATATCCAGCCATCCAATTCTGTTGCCTGATAGTAATGTCAACCAAGGGCTCTGTATATTTCTCCAGCATACCAGACAATACAATGGCGGTGATCAACCCATAAATGGCAACGGCCTCGCAGAAGATGACGGAGATCAAATTCTTGGTCTTGATTCTTGGAGCTTTGACACCACCGCCAACTATGCTCACTCCGGTCGTGTGTATACCCATCGCTGCGCCGACTACTGATAAAGCGACGGCTAAGGCGATTCCCAACGTACCCCACATGTAGGGCGAAGTATTCTCCAGGAACCATCCAAAGCTAATCTGCTCACCCTTTCCATTGAGTAGATAGTAGAGCGAGAATATAGGAACAGCGAGCCCGACGAGCAGCACGAACAAGTAGGATAGGAAGTATCTCATCTTGAGATATTTATTGAACAAATTGGACTTGTTTTACTACCTAATCCCGAAAGGGAAGGCCTTTTTTCGCCCAATTTTTACCTTGACAGAAAACTCAAAACGAAGAAGTCTTGTGATCACAAGACGTCAGAGACAATTTTTAATGTTGCCATCAAAATTAATATGAATCATTAAATCATGGATCAATTACAGACAGTGTATATACCTAATTAACGGTCCCAAAAATAAATCTTTTATGGTTTTAGACCATAATCTATTGAAAGATATAAGCACTTTTTTATTGACTATAACTATACATATTAATACTAACAACTATTTCCATTATCTCCATTGTACAATTTATTTAGTAAATGTTGATCTTGTTATGTGCAAATAGACCTTTTTAAGTATGGTAAATTTTTAAATTTCTTTACTTAATGTCAACAGATGTAGATAAACTAAAAATTTTTTTATATTCAAAGTCGGTCTTTATTAATTTTGTCTACGCAAAATAAATATCATCCATATCATAAAATAGGTATCGTCGGTAGTCATTTGATTTTACCCATTGACAAATGAAAACATACTTATTTTGACAACAGCTGTAGTCAATTGTCACATTTGTCGTATTACATCTGTGGGTGGCAATCTTTTACCAATATTGACAAGCTGTATTGAGCTACCGTTTTGTATTATTTATTGAATTGTATTTTTATACAAATAACAAAACTGATGTACAGTGTTAAAAAGAGTACAATATTATTATTCAAACAAATATCGGTAGTGCCGTTGCTTCCAAACGTTTATTACATCAATTTTTAAGATGTGAAGTGAATAATTAATTTACTCTTACCTTTAGTGCGTAGGGTATGAGTTTCAAGGACGAAAGAAGATGGAATGAAAAAAGGATGAAGCCGGTGAAGTCATCGCAGAAAGATGTGGTCCGCATACGCCAGGTTCATCGCTCGGCACTCCTGTCTATATCTTTTTATCCTAACAGTTATATGCACTACTCTCACTGTTATTCCATTAGTTTGCCACGATCTCCCATCGTTTTCCGATCCTCTTGTCGGATTCGAAACTCGCGGTACCACTTTGGCACATCGGTTTATGGCATGGGAGAATTTAATATACGAGACCAGGCCATCGCGAAAATTGGCCGTAAACCCAAAAGAAATAGAAGATCAAATACGCATGAACCAAACATACTACAATAGAACTCGACAAGACAGACCCCGTTCTGGTCATAAAGGTAAAAACAAAGGCCACAAGAAAAAAAAGAAAACCAACTCTACCAGCACTGGCTTTGAGAAAACATTGTTTAACACTCTGGAATCTAACATTTCTAATAGTCATGTTCATTGGGGATTTGGAATAAACATGACTCATGAGAATGAAAATGCTGTTATTAACAAAGATCATATTCGTAAGCAATGGGTGTCTTTGAAAGAAATGAGACGAAAACCTGAAAAGCCTGTTCATCACAACTATGCATCTGGAACATGTGGTGCCCCTGTATTTGACTATGCCCATCTGGTTGTCACAAATACAGATAATACATCATTATTAACATTTGACAACATTGCCAAAATGTGCAAGTTACAATCATTACTTATAGTTATAGGTGGTAATGAATATTACAAAATATGTCAAAGGGTCTCAGACTCAAATAACATTTGTTGTCCATTATGGAGTGTGCCAAATTATATAGCTTTAATATCTGGCAAGAATTCATGTGAGAACTTAACTCGTGAGGATGTGAACAAAACTGTAACTATATTAAAAAAATGTGCTATGTACTTTCATAATTTTTCTCTAATGGCATCATGTGACTTAGATCGTTGTAGAGTTCCCAGATATTGTTCCCAGCATGATGCCGTTTACAACATGTTATTCTATTTGATAGACTCATATGCATTTTCTCCCTCTGATTATTCGCAAACATTTGTTAAAAACTCCATGATATTCTTGCCACTGCCATATAGCAGTACCTCATTACCTTATTATGAAAAATTGCAAAGTTCAAATTTATCTTATGATACACTTATTATACCAGCCATAGATTTTGGGCTAAAAAATGCACTTTTTGACTTATGGATAATTCAAGATACATGGTTAATAGGCTTAGGTGGTATTTTTGTATATTTATGTGTATGGTTCTATAGCAAATCTTTGATTCTGACTTTGCTGTTGTTTACAGCTATAACTTATTCTCTTGGTATTGCATACTTCTTGTATGTTTATGTGTTCAACTTGGAGTTTTTTCCTTTTATGAATTTGTTAGTAATAGTTATTGTGATAGGAATTGGAGCTGATGATGCTTTTTTGTATGTTAAAATTTGGAAAATGGTTAGTAAACAGCTTATGAGAGATAATATAGTAACACAAGAAAACTGTTTGACTGATATTAAAAATATTTCCAGTGCAGGTGAAACTATTTTGATACAAATACTTGAAGAAACATTAAAACATTCAATCCTGACAATGTTCATTACTACATTGACAACTGCAATTGCATTTTATGCCTCTTATGTAAGCTACATACCTGCTATAACTTGTTTTAGTGTGTTTGCAGGTACAGCAATTCTTGTAAACTTTTTTCTAATGATTAGTTGGTTACCTGTATCAGTATTTATAATTGATGTTAAATTGTCTATAAATAAAGGTAAATGTTTAAATAAGATATATAAATGTCTCAATGATGTTTGGGAAGATATCAGAGTTGTCTTAAATAGATTCATTATTACATGTGTAACAAAATTCCATGTCCTATTTGCTGTGTTATTATGTGCTGTAGGTATTTATAGTGTTGTTATAGTTTTCTTTTCTCCTGGGCTTCAATTGCCAGAATCAAAAGAATTTCAACTTTTTCAAACTTCTCATCCTTTCGAACGATATGATATAGAATATAGAGATAAGTTTTTGTTTGAAAGATTCGGTAAAGATATTGGTACTGGTAGCAAAATGCCTCTTAGATGGATATGGGGTATAAAAGCAATTGACAATGGTAATCACATGGATCCTTATTCGACGGGACATTTAGTATTTGATCATAAATTTTCTATATCAGATCCCAATTCCCAAAAATGGTTGCTGGGATTCTGTTCCAGAATAAAATCACAACCATTTTATCAACAAACTTTGGGTCCTCTGTTACCTAACTGCTTTATTGAAAGTTTTAAGATGTTTATGAGTAGACGTTGCATTGATGTTATTGATAAAATAAATAGAACTCCATGTTGTGAATCATCTCGATTTCCGTATAAGAAAGATGTATTTGATGTATGTATTATAAAAGCAATGGAATCATTGTACCAGACACCTCATGAAATTTTCATGCCAGGAGTTGCAGGACCTAAATTTCTTAGATCTGCTTCTCCTACTGTCGCAGCAATTGTAATAGAATTTGAAAGTGTTGTGCCGTATTCCATGTCTTATATGGCCATGAATGATTTCTTTCTTCAAGTAGAAAATTGGACACAGCATGAATTGAAATCTGCTCCACCAGGCATGACTTGCGGTTGGTTTCTCTCTGACCTCCAATTTTACGATCTGCAAATGACATTAGCTAGTGGAACTGTAATGGCTCTAATATTGTCTGCTAGTTTAGGATTTGTGGTTCTCATACCAGCTACTTTAAATTTCATTGTTAGTGTTTGTGCACTGTCTGCCATGATATTTTCATCTACTGTTACAATAGCTATTCTAGTTTTAAATGATTGGAAATTAAATATTTTAGAAAGTATAACTATTTCTACTTCGGCCGGATTAGCTGTGGATTTTAGTCTTCATTATGCTTTAAGTTATACTAATGCTATTGGTACAAAGTCAGCTAGAGTAAAGTATGCGCTTACGGCATCAGCTGGCCCCACGGCAGCAGCTGCATTGACTACAGGTTTTGCAGGAATATTTCTTCTACGCTCGAATCTTCTACCATACTCTCAAATAGGTATATTCCTAGCATTGATAATGTCCGTTAGCTGGGTATATGCGACCTTCTATCTTTGTTCATTACTATATATTTTCGGACGCAATTCTCCAAAAGAAACTCCTGTCGAAGACAGAAAATCGGTCTCGCGGGTTAGTTCCATATGTTCGGGTGTACCTAATCTAGAAAGTCACGAACTAGAGCATTTGGCTGATAGTAATCGCACAAATCTTACTCATTCCCGGAGCCATTCCAGTATCAGTGGTACAACAGTTGTTTTACATGACGATTATGACAACTCGCATACTAAAATTGATAAAAAGAGTAGTGATAGCAGTAATATAACTTGTAACACGGACTGAATGTTTAGATCTAGGTAGTCTTAAGTAGTGAATGAATCACGTTTCGAAACATTTTAAAGTATATTTTTGCAGTATTATTAATTAGGCAAGTTTTATAAATCGATCTCATGGCATTTATTTACTTAATTGAGCACTTTATTTTTTACATAATTTGTTAACAATAACACTGTTGTGATCTGTACTTAATATTGTTTTCTTTATTTATGTACTCAAAATGTATAGAAATGATTATTGTGACAATAATTATCGCATAAATACTTCACAATCGACAATACAAGATCTAAACGAGCTTAGCTTGAACACTGACCCTCTGTTAATTTTATTAATAGATTTAAGTTTTCGATGTTAAATGTAAGTCCAATGGATTTGGTATTAGTTCTGTAAGCAGTTTTAATGTTAACTAATAACAGTATTGTATAGTATCTAGTTTTGGTATATGATTTATTGTTACTCTTATTTTGTATCTACCTTATTTTTAATGTAGTAATGTTTTTATACAGTATTGTATATAAGTTATGAATATTTTTTGTCATTTCATTATTATGATGAAATTATTAAGTAGTATGAACTGTATTAGTAGATCCGTTGAAAGTACAACCTTACGTCCTCGTACCTTAAAAATACGTCACTCGCAATACCTAATGAGTATTAATCTGGATCTGGAATTGTAAAATATTGAGTATGCCTAAATTGTCTGTAACTCTGCACATAATTGGACTTGTCATGTATGTTCTTAATAAATTGTGAAACATGGAACTTAATAAAATGTAGATACCTACTAGGTGTTCTACATATAAGTATCTTGTTATACTTAATATTGTATATATTATTCAGCTACGTATCTGATCTGAAGGTAAACATGCAAATATAAATACTAGTAACTTAAGTATATTAATTTTTATCATTATAAATTTGCCTTAAGTTAATATCAATCACACACAACCGTTTCAATACATGACAATATATATTTTAACAAGTACGACATATGTGCACGCAACACCATAATTATCGTATAATCTTTTTTATAAACATGATGATAATATATTAAACATGACAATTATTTACTATAGTTTAAATCGCAGTTATAATTGTATTGTTTTACTTACAGTATTTTAGTTGGGTAGGTAGGTTAGAGTGGAAATAGTATTTTTGTGTTTGTATTTTATACACATTTTGGTGTCTAACTAATATGTTTTATATTTGTTTACCGATGTAATAAACTATCTATTTTCGATGAATGTTTGCTTATTCAAATTATCTCTATTTAAGTCTCCTAGATGATCTACTCGTACTTTCCTATATACATAAATGGTATATTATATACATAATTAACATATTATTATTTTCACAACTTACCGCATAATCCGTAAATTTTGGCAGAAAATTCAAAGAGAGTACACAAACTCATAGTATGAGAAATTCAAAGTTTTGCTGCGAATAGAATTTGATAGAACCGATACATGCATTTCTCCTACTCAGAATAATAGACGATTGATCGCTATAGCTCGAAAGACCAGCAAGTTAGAGTTGTAAACAGTAGGCTACGGTTTGAATAAACCAAAACTCTTGAAGCAAAATCATAAGTATGGAACCGCTACCATGTTACAGCTAGTTATGCTTTGAGCAACTCATTTCACTCTTTGGCTTTGAGTCTAAATATGTATACTTTGTTCATACATTTTTTTTATACTGCATCCTTTATTACTCGTACATAAATAAGGCAGATTAATGCAGCAGTCGTAATTAAAATACAGCGCGGAGAATATTATGATTTAGTATATTCCATACTTTGTACATCATAGCATATCAACCTACTACATGAATGTACAGATTGGTACAAATATTCCTTGTTACGAAGCGAACTATGGGCTCCTTATAGCATGCCTGCTACAGGATTGTTTTCGTAAACTGTTCACCTCTTTTTTGCATGAACATTTTGAAATCATTCGTACCATGACGTCCCATTTAAATACTATTACATTATTCGCTGCGTGGCTTAGCGGTATTCTATTGTGTAACTGAATATTTTTCTAGGTCTTTTCATCTTAAAGGTGGACAACGACACTTAATTTAGCTTAGAGCTAACTATAAGAAATAAGTATGTCAAACTCGATCTAGAAACGACAATTGGAAACGATATGGATGTATAGACGTAATTTCCTTTGCTTTCTACGCCATTAAAACTATAAGTCATAGTTGTCATTTAAAATCTTTGAAATATTCTAAACTTTAAAGCAACGGCATTGAATGCAATATTGCAAGACATAACATAATGTCATTGTGGTTTGACAATACTAGCCTTAGTATTGTCTTGACAGTTGTTTGTATTTTGTTCTATTTAATGCGTGATTCATTCCTTGATTTTCGCTTATAAATTAAAGAGAATTGTATTATATTTGTAATTTGTTAATAATTTGAGTATTTACTGTACAAAGCAATATGTTTTCAACTAATCCTAATTACACTAAACTCAAAACTCATTTGAGACTATCCATTAATCGTCTTAAACTACTGGAGAAGAAGAAAACAGAACTGACGCAGAAAGCTAGGAAGGAAATTGCTGAGTATATAGCAGCGGGTAAAAGTGAGCGAGCAAAGATTCGTGTGGAACACATAATCAGGTAATAAAAAAACTGTATTTTCTAAGGACAAGTTGATTAACCTTGAACATATCTATCAATTTTAGTCATCATCTATACGATGACTCAGCTAAGAAATCTAGTTCTTCCAAGTATCATATAATTGCTACTATTAAGAGAACTAGCTTGCTTTGTAGAACAGAATTGAAATAAATAGAGATATGATAATTTGTAATTAAATAGTGGTGTTTATACCAATATTGATGATTATCGATGTTAGTATCAAAAAAGAACATTTAGAATAATACAAACAATAACATTTGTTGATAAACTCAGTATAGCAAGTATTAAGATAATTAATTCAGGAGCTCCTATCAATAATCAATGGATCAATGCATCATTGGATTAACTTTAATATTTACTAAAGTAAATCCATTGTTCTTCATTAACTATTGTATATGTTTTTTAAAAAATTCTATGTTTTGTTATTTACTAATATACACACCACACACAACCTGGCTGCCCATAGCTATTTAATAAAAATTATAAAATATTGTTATAGATGGAATAAACAGATTATGTTCATCAGGGATATATTAAGGAGAACATCACTTTGTTCAAATGAGGATTTCATTTGAAAAAAGTGATGTGGTCCTAAATATTAATTAATGTTCAAAGATTACGATGTAGGAACATTGTAATAACCAATAATTGAACTTCAGACAACAATGACAAATTATTTTTAATTAACTTGAATTTTTGTGTGGTGCTGTTCTTCTACTAGTTGTCCAGTGTTACCATATGTTCAAGTTTCGTGATATTATTTCTTACCTGAGAAAAGTCATATGTGATATTTAAAAAATTGTAAAATATAAACATTTACAGAGAGGACTACATGGTGGAGGCAATGGAAATAGTGGAAATGTACTGTGATCTGATACTAGCAAGGTTTGGTCTTGTTACACAAATGAAGGAATTGGACGAGGGGCTAGCTGAAGCCATATCAAGTCTAATTTGGGTGGCACCTAGAATGCACACAGATGTTCAGGTATTTTACATTTATTGGAAACTAGGGCTTAGACTGGTGGCTTACTAGTTTACACAAGTTTTGTATATATTTAATATTATATATATTATGTTAAATATATGTCACTTCTGAATAATATAATTTATGATTGTAGTAATTTGAGAGTTTTGTTTCCTCATAACAATATCTATTTTTTCTCTTATAATATTGGTATAGAAGATAGATTCAAACATATCAACAGGTTATATATCATTACTAAATTTTGTTTGTACAAAATGACAATTTTTATAATGTGGCCTCATTATATATTTATATTGGAATTTAACAAGGTAGATTGGGAGGGTTTATGGTCATCAATAAGCTGAAGTGCTGCTGGCCATGATACTATTATTTTAGCTTAGTTCAAAGAAAAACAAAAGAAAATTACATGCAACTTTACATTAAATTATTATTAAATGTAAATAAAAAATTGCTACATAGCCAGGAACAGAACCTTATTGAACTAGTTATATATGTATTAATTTATTCCAGGAGTTAAAAGTTATATCTGACTTGTTTACTGCAAAATATGGCAAGATTTATGCTGATGCATGTAGAAATGAAAATGTGAATACAATTAGTGAGAAGCTGAAACATAAATTGTCAGTTCAAAGCCCTCCAAAAATACTGGTTGAGAAGTATTTGATTGAGATTGCTAAAAACTATAATGTCGAGTACACTCCTGATGAACAAGTTATGAGGGAAGAACAAGGTATGTATAAAATATTAATTCCTAAGGTTTGTGTACTGTCACTGATTACTTAATGTAATAATTTGGTGTGATAGTACAGTAATTATAAATGTTAGGTGCATATGGAATCTTAGCATAATAAAGCTGATTGTCTGTTAACAGGTCATGATGCAATGTTGATTGATATTAATGGTCCACCAATGCCTCCTGGCTTCATAGGCTACCCAAATCCGCCTATGCCTCGATTGCCTGATCTGCCACCTGTACAGCCCTTCAGCTATCCTACAGTAAGTTTATGTTTACATCATCTATTATAAAATATGTTTTTAATAATTAGAATGGTAAACAAGTTAACAATTTCGCTGATGGAAAGTGGCAAGCATTGCCTGTATATTAAACAGCACAGGCATCATCAGCCAATTTGAAATATTTTAAACTGTTTCGACATTTTTCTCATGCAGATCATTGGTAACATTAGCTTCCTTTACACCACATGTAACACGACTGTACAAAGTGTACCTCGGCATTTCCATCTATTCAATTTTTAAAACCTAAAATATTATTCGATTTGTTTATATTATACAGTCATATAAGGAATATGCTCACTATTTTTGGATATTATGCTTGGTTTAACTGTTCTTAAAATACGTATACTATTAATCTGTACCAAAATTTCAGAAACCATCTGGAGGTAGTGCAGGTGGATTTATCGCTACCCCTCCAGCTGCATATGGTGGACCAAGCCAACCTCCAATGGGCTACAATTTGCCGCCCGGCGTTGACTCTAAGAGCTTGAGCAATAGTTTTCTACAGGTATCACATTATTTCCTTATCAGCATGAGAACTGACTTGTTTGTGCTTAAACAATGATGCTATGCTTAGATATTTGTTGAATCATGTAAAATGTGTCTGAGACCAAAACCAAGTTCAAAAATATATAAGCTTTAAAGAAATGAAAGAAGCAAAGGTTTGAAGGACTGTAATTTAAGGAGAAGATAGGACTGATGGATGTGGTTAGAGAATGTCACGATAGGAGGACAGGTAAGTGGAAGAAACCAAGAGGGAATGTGGAATAAGAATTAGAATGCAGAAATCAAGGGTTCGCCTCGACGCGCCTCTCAGGCGCCGATCGGTGGAGGACGGACCTCTGGCCGTTGATATCCTTTGTTAGGTTGTTGCTGTCTCACGACGTGTTTTGAGATATTAAGTTCTGGGGTAGTTGAGTCGGCGGGACTCTCTAATATTGTGTCCGAATTTTCGTGATTTCCAATAGTGGTAAGTATACGGAGTTAGAAATGCGGCTTTTTTTACTTGTCGTCTCAATCCTTTGAAAATTTCTTTGAATTTTCTTGCCGTTGTCTCCTCCGAACAACACGGCAGAATTCGCACCTCAGATTTTACCGCGCATGTTCTTTTCTTTTCAATTTTCGAAATTGACATCGAGGTATGTTTTTTTGTATTATATAGCGTTAGTGTAACGAACGAAGTAACAAAAAAGTAGATATAAAAGTAAATTTCATTCCACACATGTGAAGAATTATATGATACTACGTTGCTCAGACACTTTTTGCGCTTAGTAATTATATATATACATAATTCCTTTATACTGCATCAACAATAATTATGATTTTAATGTTTTGTCTGTGGACTTTATAAAATTGATTTAGTTTATCAATTAATTTAATTTATTTATTATTAATATTTATGTATGTTTTATTTTAAAAGTTCCTTTCAGTGTAGATTTATAAAGACTATGAGAAATATAGTTTTATAAATTTATTCCTTCTGACAGATAAAATAGTATAAAATATAGAGATTAAGTGTTAAATTGATAGCATACTGGTGACAGTTTATTATCTTGCAAAATTGTTACTTTATCAACTTTATATAGTATAGAAATAAATAAACTGTTCTTACTAAGAATTTTCTCTAAAATATTGAGATATTATTATTATAATCAATAAATTTCTTATAATCCATTCCTCATGGTTATCACTTAATATTTTTAAACTGTTTTTTTTTTCGGAAAAGAAATTAATGAAAAGCAGAGGTGGTGTCTTATCGTTAGGACTACTTGTGAACAATACAAGTGGTATTGTCTTGATTACAAATATCAGCCGTGCATGCGAGCATATATACTTGCTACTAAACAAATTATTATAGCAAGTATGTGATCTGAAATGTACTTTTTTTATTTCTTAGAATTTTAGGAACATTTGTATGAACCTTGTTCTTTGTTTTTCTTTTTAAATTCATTAACCATTTTCTCTAAAATTGCAGGACGAAATGAGTAATCTCCCACCCGCTTATGACAGCATTAATCATGATTTGGTAATTGTTTATTTTTAATTTTTAAGTATACTTTTATGCACCCTGCTTCGAACCAAGTGTTGTTATGAGAAATGTGGTTTAGGTTTGGGTTAAATATTCTAATGGTACCAGACTGGACCACGAATGCACGTAATTTTGATACATGCACCTGTTTTAGAGTAGCTATTAAATAAATGTTGTTTGTAAATGTAAACATACTATAAAATATTCTAAAATGTATGTATTAAATATTCTGAAGTATGTCGGTCTAATCTATTCAGCCGCCAAGCAGCTTGTTTTGTAAGCTGTGCTTCGGCTATAGAGTGCAGATGAAGCTGTGAAATTACAGAATAAGAGTCATGACATCTTACTCCTCTAGAATGACAACTTCCGAGTGGTATCACAGGTGTCATAATGTAATTGCCAGTGACTATCAGATGGATTATTAGCTTTTTGATTTAAAAAGTAATAATTATTACTTTAATATTTTACAGACGGTAGACTTTTTGTACAAAGTAGTCCTCTGTTTACTTCTGCAAGCAAGCAGGTTACGAAATATGACAGTGAAAATACAGGCTATAGGGATAACACCTTAGTTTTTTTTTTGTTTATTAGAGTTTAAATACACAAACAAGTGCACATGGCGGACTTAACATGTTCAGAAATTTTCTACAATCCACCAAAGAGCCAAACAGTTATCTATGGCAATACATAAAGGTCCTTACTATAATGCTATTCATGTGTATAGGTGAACTTTGCGTCTTTACATTAAGTACGCCAACAGTTTGTTAGCTATTCTAGTTATATATTTTATATTGTAACAATTATTATAGGCTCATTTTATAATACAAACTTTTTTATTGCAGCCAGCCCATGTGCCAACACCACAGCCGCGGCCCAGAGTATTGCAAAATCCACACAATCCACAGAACCAATTCCCCGAGCTGCCGGAACTGCCTTCTGTGCCCTCCGACCTGGTGTTACCCTCAGTGCCTCACAGCAACAATTCCAACGCCAATGCTAACAATTCTAGTGCAGCCGACGAGATAGATTTCGAAGATCTGAACCGACGTTTCGAGGAGTTGAAGAAAAAAACATAAAATATAATTCTATTTAAAGGATATATATATACATAGAGTATGTATAGACTGTTGGTTTGCTGATAGCAAATTAACAACCGTAAAGAGTGTCTTAAGAGATAGTATTTACAAAACAGAATAATTTATCCCAAGAGACAATTTGGAAGAAAAATTAACGTTGCAACGTTATTTTTTTTAACAAAAGTGATTACTTCACTGATTTATTAGAATGTTCCAACAATATTTTGATTTTTCGATTGCCCCTGAAATAAGTTGGTTTCGCTTAATGTACCTATTATGGCTAATTCTGTATAAATAATGTAAAGAATTAAATCCATTTTACGATTTCTATAAGTCGCTTCGATAGAATAATGTTCTGTACGTTAGAAATAAAAATAATCAATATTTTTAAACCATTCTTTAACTCAAATATTTGATAATATGCTCAATTTTTGTAATAGTAAATGCTTTGGCAAATATCTGCACTATTTCTAGTTATTTAAATATTGCTAAAATATTATGTCATACAATGTCTTAGATTATATCCACATTGTAGAGTTATACAGACAACGACAGGACATAAAAAAAAATTTTAATAAGTTCACAATAATTAATTAATATTACAAAGTTATTGTTAACTTTTTAATGATATAAATATGCAACAAACAAATCCTTTTAAATCGAGAAGTGGATCTAGCTTTTATCATATATATCTAGTAATATAATTTATATCACGATATAAATATCTCCACGATAAGTAGCTTTAAAATGGATAATATGACCCTAGTCACAAATGAAATTAATAGCTATTGCAGCGATCACTTTTTGTAATGTTTCTTTTTTATGCGGTCTAATAACATTATTTCTTCTGAGAATCTTTATATTTATAAATATATTAGGAACCCTATTTATTTTAAGATTTATTGTATAAAAATAACATTGATTATACTTTTTACGTTATTGTATTGTTAGTCCTAATTGCACAGATATAGATTTAAGTAGATGCCACATGTTCCTTAGTAAATACTATTTTATGGCAAACCGATTCATAGATTCCGCTCAATGTTATCGCAACAAAGTATCAAGACAGGTATTAGTTATTTAGTGTAAGATCACAACATGAGTACTCTAGGGATTGTGCCTATACTTGTATTATTTCTGCCAATACTAGACACCCTTACATTAATTAACTTCTCGGCAGAAAAGATTTAAGTTCAGTGTAAAATCAGTTCGCAAAACACTCCGCGGCATGTAGTACTATGCAATAAACTTACTAATGTACAATAAATAGTACAATTATTCGACCTGTATACTCACTACCTACATAATACATTTAACAGCAAATTAAGTAGCGATAACATCGTGTTACAGAATAATTCTTTATTGTACACACACATTGGAAAAAAACATGTTCCTTTATGTAATGTTATTTTAAATAAGCGAACTACATGAACTTAACAGCTATATATCACTAGAGTTCTAAATGTAAGTCGAATGTAATAGAACAGATATAGCAGATTCAATAGCGGCATCTATTTATATCTCTGTCTACTCATGTTTATATATAAGAGATTTATTTTTATAAACTATATCAATTTTATATAAATAATAACATTATTTGGCAGATGCAATTTGGTTGCGAGTGGGGCCATGTTCACAAGCGAAATACAATTAAATGTTAATATATTGTTCAATAATAAGAGTATTTTTATTAATCATATAGATTGATAATTGATATCCTCTCCACTAGACGGTTATTTACTTGTTTGTTATTATGTAGTTGAAACTGATGCCTGTGCAGTAAGTATACATACTAATACTATATAGCAGGGGTTCAATGAGTTCATAAAATACATTTTTGGAACTATATTATAGTATTAATTTGTGAATGGTGTCTAAACCTAAACTAACAACTCTTTTCATTCGCCAGACATCGAATATATAGAAGGAATAAAGACACAAAAGAATACTGGTGTAATATTCAAATTACTAGGTATACAGAAACGAACAAAGGTCGTCTTTCGATTTTATTTTTGTCATATTACCTCACTTTACAGTTATCTATGATCTTCTATGTAATATAATAAGAATCATGTATGAATATAAAATGATGCATTTGCTTGCCTTGTCAATAGACGCTGGATATAAGTAGAGGATAAGATGAGGTCAGGTCAGTTAGCCAATCAAGGCGAATTAATCGCATAGACGTTAGTGTTCAGGAGGGGGAAAGGGGATTGTCAGTAACGTGAACTGATGATCTTATTGCTAGCAATGTACCATGTCAGGTTGACCTCCACGCGGTTCCCGCCGAAAACCATCGTGATAAATTTGTCACCTGACCTGACCTCATGCCCATCTTATCATCCTCTACTGGTGCCCCGCCAGCGTAAACTCAAACTGTTAGGTGTACAATGGTACACCCACGGGCACCTAACGGTTATCATCCACAAAAAAAGTTCAGGAAACATAAGTTATATAATAAAAATCATTCAATATATTACAATTTATAATTTATGCTATAAAATTTCGCTCATCATAATAAAGTATTAACGGTAATAACAGGAAGCAAATTAATAAATTAGGGTAAGCGCGCAATACGAAATTGTTGCCGCGCGGAAAAAAGTAGTTGCAACATAAAGTCGCGTTCAAATAATAGTAACTATGTAATATATATTTGACTTTAACATACACATTTAACAGCAAAGATGCCTGCGGTAGCGGCGATAAGTCTGTAACAAGTAACTTGTAATACATTAGTTGAAAGTTAACTGTAAGCGCAAGGCTAATAATGACGGCTGACAAACGATACGTTCTAATATTTATTTCAGAAAATATTCATGAGTTATTTTAAAACAAAATATTAAAAGATTTTTTCGGAATAATCATAATATCACCAACTATTTAACAGAATTATCCCATGTCTAAATTTTTATAGACAAGAGGATGCAGTTATGTATACCATATTGTGCCGTAGTGCGCGGGTAGCCTTATGTATTTTATTTGTAGGGTACTGACCACCTTAGATAGTCATTACATTACCTATAATCTGTTTTTATACTTGGCGTAAGTAACAATAGCAAGAATAAAGGAAATGTGTTAATTGATTACAATTTTTGCTTTATTTTTAAATTACTACCGGCTTACGGCAAGTATGAAGTACAAAATACAGATTATAAATGTTTATAAAGTAGGACTATTTATTAAATGACTTGTCATAACATCAATTCATTTTATTGCTTAAAACTTGACAGTGATGAAAAATTACGAGTATACAGTTAGTTTGTTACTCTTCATATAATTATACTCAATTACGAGAGACATAGTAATTATAAAATAATTTATCAAATTAACAGCCTTTATTCTCATTCATAATAATCTCAGAATTTGTTGAGAGCATGTAGATATTTTCTTTAGATTAGGATCATTGGTTGGAGTGCTATCTTTCTTTAGTCGATTGTGGACTGGCGTGTTTGACACGATTTTCGTTTGTATCTGGAGCTTATTAGGTGACTCGGCCAGCAGTGTACCTAGGGCTACTAGCCCTCTGTGAACCAAAACACATATCAATTAAAGGACTATACACACAATAAGTTTTTAAACGTTTTTTCTGGGGATTGTTTAGAGATTATGTAAAACGTACGTTTAGCATGATATTATTTATGTGCTTTCGATACATAGACACTTACAAATGTCTAAAGAGTCAGTTGATGATATAAACAATTATTATCGCATAAATATCGTAAATAATTCATTTCAGAATGTGTATAATTCTAAATAATAGTTTCTATACGTAATTAAATCGAAACAAAGTTAAAATATAAAAAATGGTGGGACAGAACCACCACATTCTGTACCACCATTTTTTATAGTTTAACTTTACGGATTTATTTAGTGGTTACTATAACAACTTACGTGGAAAATTCGTGATTTTGCATATTGGAAATCACAAATTTTCAACATAAGTCGATCCAACACAAAAAGTGTATTAATTTAATTTCCTACTAATTCTTCAGTGTTGAAAGCACCGTTAAAAACCATATTAATCAGATAGACGGTTGGTAAGCTCGCTTTCTACCACGTTAAAAGCTAAATATTATGCATTGAAGATAAATATAAATATATCCACTCTACATAGCATGTGATAAGATAATTACGTTATCAAATCACGATTAAATGGCTTGGCCTGATTATTTACTAGTGACTTATTGAAGTTGTATCTATTTTAATAACTTCACCTGAAATAGGCTTCGTTGTCTGTGAATTTACTAAGCAACTGTAGTGAGCACTCTGCTATGTCCACGCTGTCGATCTGCTGCGCTAATGCCACAGAGAGGTTCACTAGTAACGACGCCGCTGCGATCTACAAATCACATAAATAAGGTCATACAAACGTTCACTGGAAGAAAGAGGCCTTTTGGGAAAAAAATATGCCACAGTATCAATAAGTTCATTGTATGCCTTTATACAAAAATTAATTTTACAATAAAGTATTACAAACCTGTAAAATACGTAATAACTAGCTGTGCCCCCGGATTCACCCGTATGAAAGTAATACCCTGTGTTAATCTAATGTATAAGCTATATTACTGTAATGTCTCATCAAAAATCAGTCCAGTAGTTAGTTCTTTCCTCTAGATGGGTGTCATTTGTTTGTTATTAAATTAAAGAGTTTTATATATTTATATTGACATGGGTGTATTTCTATATATATTACATATTTACTTGTGTATTTGACTTGGAACTTATTCCCTACATAGCTTGGGACTATACTGTAAATTTAATAAGGTATTCATTTCTTTTTTACGAGAATAGGCCTGTTCTCTCTTATTATCCCATAAGACAGACAAGCTTGTCTATCGTAGGACAAAACAACGTTACGTTTACTCACCTGTGCGTTATTATTGAGCTTGTTGAGACATATGAGCGAGTGTAGGACACTCTCCCGCGCCGCTAACACCAGCATTTCACCGGGCAAGTCGCTAAATGCGTTTACTAGCACGCGCATACACAACATCTGATTAGGTGCTAGGTTGTCTGAAAGACATGACAAAGATTTTAAACCATACAATATACTATTTATTACATTGATTGAAGTCAATTAAAAAAAGTAGCTCTAAAATTGAGTTGGCTTATAAACTAACTTCGTCTACATCACACTTATTTGACAATTATCATTATATTTCGCCAAATTTACATAATTTATTCTAAATTTGTAGCATATGTGTTATTCTGATGTATAAGGTATATTACTGTAAACTTTCATTAAGATCGGTTCGGTAGTTTTTGCGTGACAGAATAACAAACATCATCCATACATACTCAACAACTTTTGTGTTTATAACATATTACTATGGATTATATATAGTATTTTTTTCTACTGGACTCATACATTAAAAATAGATTTTGAAATTAGTGTGTAGTCTTTTTTGTTTATTTATCTACAGACACTCATTTGCATATAGACTTAGATAATATTTAAAACACGATATTATGTCTTAACTCTGTGAATTTAGAAGAAAATGAACTTTCTAAAATTGTTATATTTTATACATTTAAATCTCATTTAAAAGATAGAGAGTTATATTTTTTAATTCGAATTGTACACTTGTTTATTTCATATACTTAGTTGTTATTTACCATAGTGCTAACAATATTTCTAACAATTCTTATACTGTATTGTTTAAAAAAGTGAGTTTATTTGGGAATTCAACTTTAATCAAAGTAAACTTAAAGTAGATTTTCCAAAATTCTTAAAATAAAAAGCCTGCAATACTATATTTGTATACTTATATAATTATTTATTTAGATAATTACCAGGTGCTAATAATGTCAGTAGGTATTTCACAAATGTCGGCCCGTAGGTAGTATCAAATAATTGTCCATTTATTTCTTTATTACGCACAGCTAATCTGGTTATATCCAATACAGGGAAGAGTATTTCTGAAATGAAAAATAAACCGTCCATATGTAAAAAAGAAATGCATTTTTAATTGATTTTATAGAAATGGGAAGAGGATTGTTGAACTTATTGCAACTAAAGTAACATCTCAGGTTGACCTCCACACAGTCCCCTTGGAAACCCCTTGCCACGATGGGCTAACTGACCTGACCTCATGTTCATCATTTCGCCACAAGCATATACCGTAGGCAGTATGCACCACTCCATAATATTACATTAAAAATACATTTTATATGAAATCATATATACCTTTTGGCCATTCTAACATTTTCTTTAATATTGTGATTGTTTCTGCACTGTAAGTGCTATTCTGAAAGGAAGTACACAATATTTCAGTATATTTATATTGCGCCAAGATAAAGTATTATTTACTATAAACAACATTAAAATTGTACCCATATAATGTATATTGAAACTTACCAATTCCCCTAGTTTGACGACATTTTCTAATTGTTGATCTGTCATTGCGTTTAGACCGTCACCGACTTTGCTATTGAATTCTTTTAGCTTTTCGTATATTGCTTTTAAATTGGCTTGATCGAATCTGTAAATCACAAACAATATACATAAAAAAAATGCTCACCAATACAAATAATTATAAACATGTATACAAAAAAATGTGTATAGCGTGCGAGAAACGAACGCAATAATTCAGTGCCTCACCATTTGATAGTTGGATGTTCAATATCAGCACAATACAAAAATCATATCTCTAGATATTAGTTATGTATCATAAGAGAAACATATTCCAGTATGCACAGTATCTATTTTTCAAGATACCCTCATATACGAACTAGATGGCGCTGTGTTAAATTTATTGCTATTTAATTAATTACCTTATATAAGAGTCGTGTGGTACGAGAGGCTTGTCATTGGAGGTAAATGCAGCGGCCGATGCTGCTGGCGTGGTGTACGCGCCGCCCCCGGTGAAAGGGTCCGGCGCCCCTGAGGTCCCTACAGTGCGCGCCCCCGCACCTGACCCTGGTACGTAGCGGGATTCACCAGTAAACGGATCTGCGAATCTGAATTAAGAGGAAGGGGATTGCTTTTAATGTATGATTCTGGAATCGAGCACTCGCCTGTGCTAACGGTTTACGCCTGCAGCGCACCAGTGGAGGATGATAAGATGAGGATGAGGCCAGTTAGCCCATGAGAAAGTCACCAGGAATTTATCTAGATGGTTTCCAGGGGGAACCGCGTTAAGGTCGACCTGAGACTTGGCATATTGCTAGTGATGGAGTAATTATAATAGCTCTCATTACTAACAATCCTTTCTACCTTTCTCCTTGGTAGGGGATTGTTAGTGAATAAAATTTTTCAAGAAGAGTTAATTAAGGATTCTTAAGTGTCAGCAACGCACAATTGACACCTTTGGTGTTACCACCATCGTCTATGTCAAATTTGGTGTTTCCTCCTAGAAATCATTATGATAAAATCTTGGTGAATTCGTCACGATGGTCTAACTGACCGGATCTCACGTTCATATCAGCTTGCACTGCTGCCCCGCCAGCGTAAACCAAATTAAGAGACAGCGTAAGATTAATCGAGTCTCCACTATGATATGAAAAGGTAACACTCACCCATTGCTCGATTGAGTCGGTAGCACATCTAGTTTAGCGTTTGTGATGATAAAATTTGCCACTTGTTCAAGATATACTTGAGGGAGATCATGTCTGTAATGAAATTGATTAGCTTTATAATTAAGTAGTCCGCAATAGTGGTTACAATGTTAAAAACTATATTTAATTTATGTTTTGTATTAAATAAAGTGGATGGATGAAAAACATGTGCATGTGGCAGAGATACGAATGATCAGATTTGTCTGAGCTAACCAGGAAGTTTCAAAGTTGCGCCAATAAAAACGAGGTAGTGGAGGTGGATAAAAAGGGAGAGGACGACCGAAAACAAGTCAGATAACAGAGAAACATATTATTTATAAATAAAAGGAGAGTAATCTTAGATATGAAGCCTGTAAGAGAGTAGTGGAAGATGGCATACTATGCCAACGCTAAATAATAGAATAAAGGTAATGATGACTGTGTAATACGATGAAATGCAATAAAATAATTTATTTGCGAAATATTGTTACAGTTGATAAGACGTTACATTAAAATATTATTTAACAGACATATTCACGATAAGAGGCATGGAACTTATATTAAAGTATTTATTTTATTCCAATATTATTGGATGCTGTAAAAAATATTAAACAACATCCAATTTTTCAGTTTGCGTTTCAACAATGCATTGCCATTTACATTTCTTGATGATGATTAAATGATTCACAAAGTGACTTACTTGTGAATAAATGCTTGTGCTGCGACCCACGGATCCTCTGTCTTGTTGTATGGCAGCTTGATAGCAGGCGCGCCGTCCTTGATGTCCACACTGAACACAAAGTCATACTCCTGAAAATGTTCAGTATACTTATTATTATTGAGCTATCTATTACATCCCAATAAAAGACACGTGTCCCTATAGCTGTAGGATATTAGCTCTAGAGTTTTCCAGTGTCTTATTTACCTATTATTTGTGGTTGAGCTATCAATTTTTTGTAATGTATATATATGTGTACCAATTAACTATAAAATACCATCGAGAATATTTAATTAAAAGTATTAATATATTTTATTTATTATTATGTATATAAATGAGTGTTACAAGGCCAGTTTAGGTACCATTGTGTACAGGTTTAGTCACTACTTGTTTTCATTGTCTCTCTTTTCTTTTTGTTACTCCATTTTGGTCAGGTTTGCTTTCAGAATTAATATTGAATAAAAAAATATAATATAAATATTTCTATCAATTGTCTTGTACCCATAACACAAGCTCTATTGCCTAACTTGGAACTAGATGGCGATGTATGACTTTTATAGAATTACTAATTAATTAAATTTACCGTTTTTTTCTTATTAAAATAAAATTAACCTAACTTAGGTTACCTTTATAAGATTACTCACTACTACTACTCCTTCCTTATAACATTAGCTACAAGTAAAAGTTTTGTCAAAATATATTCTATAGAACTTTAACCAGAACATTTACCACAAATATAAGTTATTTCAGAAATATATAACTACCTGTCCTTGATACATAGTTTTGCCTTCGCTAGCGGGATTTGCTCCCATAACATCTCCTATTTCATTCCATGTGTTCTCAGAGACACTCCATGAATAACATTTCACATTGGTACCACGCCGCACTAGTTTGGTCTGTCCATCTGATTTCCCAGGCTCTAATAGCACTTCTGGACCTGGTAATCAATTTCATTTTTGTACTTTGCATCTGGGGAGATCCAAGTCCACTTGTTGTTTTTCTTCTTAAAGATTGTGTTTAGTATCGTATTGTGCTCCATGGTATTCTGAAAAGATCAAATGAGTCAATGATTACAATTGTTTTACATTAGTAGATTGTGTATAAAGGCGAATGCATGGTGGCTGTTGTCTCTCTCATTTTAGCAGATAAGCAGCTTGCTTTGTTAAGATTGTCTAAGTTGAGATATATCAGTGAAAAAATACAGTGGAAGCAACCATGACATCTTAGACCTTAGAGACGGCAATAAATGAGGGATATCACATAATAAAATAATTTACATATCTGCATGGATTACAGAAATTTGGCAATTCTTACATACATTTTACTGCATGATTATATGTGCAACATTCTAAGAAAATGAATTACAAGTAATGTAGAATTTTTTAATTGTGTACTTTTATCTTTTACTTCAATGATTTTCTTTTTGTATTTAGAATAGCAAACAAGCTGATGGTAAGCGGTAACTATATCCTATATACATGAACTGTACATGTACTGCTATTTCAAACAACTAAGATGTCATACTACCGTAGCCTATAGTAGTTAGTTCATAAGAATAAACATACTCAGATAGTTTGTATCCACCAATTTCCTGCTGAGAGGCTGCTTGCATTTTGACAACATCTTCTTCAAATGCATTGAGGGTTGCTTCATCTGCATATCTAGCTGCGTCTGCTGTAAATACTCGTACTAGTCCATCGCTTGAACCTGTATACCAAATTATGGTGAAATTAATTACAGATTTATCTCTTGAATCTCTATCTATTAAAAAAACCGCTTCAAAATCCGTTGCGTAGTTTTATAGATTTAAGCATACATAGGAACGGATAGACAGCTACAGCGACTTTGTTTTATACTATGTTATGATGATATTATTATATTTCACATATGTAACATAAAGCCTAAAGTCAATGTATATAATAAAAAAAACATTTTTTACAGACTGCGCAATTACTCGATGTCAAAATAAAATTTATTCTTTCATACAAGCTACAAAATTTATCACTTTTGTCATGTTAATATTTTATAATTTATGATAAGGTGATTTCAGTAACATTTTATAACACAATCGGACACTGACATCAATAAATTATAATCATGTAATTATTTCTGCTTTGTTAGCAATATGACAAAGTATATTAGAATGAGTAATGTTTATAGTATATGTACTGCCGAAGCAAGTACAGAATGGGCAATTGATACATGTCATACCAAGCTTTATGCTTGTTTTGACTGTTAATTAACAATAAGAAAAATAGATTAAAACATGTGATTTTTTTATTTTTTACATTAAATAAATTTTCATTTTTTATTTTGTACTTTTTTCCACATGACCTGGTACCACCTAATCATGTAGCATTTAATTGCTAGGCTGATTACTGATTGTTGACTACTTTAGGACTTCACTATCATGTTATGTTGGTTTAGTACAAAAAAATATATTGCTCTCTGTTCTATAATTTGTTACAGTTGTAACTCATGCTATCATTCAGTTCTAAATGAGATATAGATTCTTATTAGATTCCCTTAAGGTGGATTTGAGATGTTTCTATTCTTATGATCATTATTTAACATCATTACATAGTATAAAACAAAGTCGCTGTCGCTATCTGTAATAGGGACAGATAACGACAGTGACTTTGTTTTATGCTATTTATGCTTAAATGTTTAAAACTATGCAACGGATTTGGAAGCGGTTTTTTTTAATAAAGTGATTCTAGAGGAAGGTTTATATATATTATAATACATATACACCCGTGTGAAGCCGGGGCGAGTAGCTAGTTCAACTAATGCAATAAATACTATATTTCTTTCCTTTTTTTTGTTTAAATCTAACAATACAATGAATTTGTATATGTGATAAAAAAGATATCATACCAGTAACAATATCACCATTATCGAGACAAGTGACACTCCACACAGAGTGTACAGGCAGTCGAATTTCACCAACACAATCTCCGGCGGACCACACTCTCACACTACCATCTTCACCACATGTTGCAAAACCACTTGTAAGAGCCGAGTTCAAACTGATGCTGTAACAGAAATTATATAGGTTGGTTTTTTTTTCACAATTGTATAATTGAAACAATTGCTATTAAGTATTAATAAAATTTTATGAATTATAATCTTGATAAAATTTGTATGAGGTTAAAAGAATGTCAAGAGAAACCATATCAAAAAAAGAATTATACAAACCAAAGACTTCTCTTTTTATTTATCTGCAATGGTAAGTACAGTGGGTTCTATACCTAACATATAGACTGAGAAAACTTTATTTATATATAACATAGATTTTAGTTTTTTATTCAGTGAAAATAAAGGTAGATTTGGTAATGTCCTCTGCATAAGTACCTAAGTCTCACCTGTTTCAGTTACCAAACAGTCTGCTTTGTAAGATGTGTTTCAATTGAAAGGTAAGAAATATAGATAAAGCAGTAAAATTACAGGATCAGTGGCTTCACACCTTAGTGTTCTGGATTGGCAATACATAATTGGTATTGCAGGTGTCACGTTATAACAAGATGTCTGTAGTGCTGTTGCATGTGTATAGGCATGGGCCATCAGCTTGTTTGCCATTCCCATCACATAAAAAGAAATGTTACACATACAAAATTCTGAAAATACAAACCTATATATATAATTTGAATGTCCATAATATGTGTTAAGACACTGTCCTTTGTTAGTCCAAAGTCTTATAGACGCATCATTAGAGCAACTAAGGAAAGTATCTTGATTTGCAACTGCCAGACCCCGCACACAATCTGAATGTCCTGAAAACATTACAAATTTATTATTAATATGGTTAAATGGGTTTTATATGGATTAATTTTATAGTAAATAAAAGTTTATTAATTCTCTCTTTCTCATTAAAACTATATTATTAACTAGCTGTACCAGCAATATCGTCCACATGGAATTTATGTCTAGTATACATTAGTAATATTAATGTCCAGGGTTGCCATAGACATGTAGCATGAGTGTTAAATCAAGGGACTGATGCCCATAACTATCTATATATTAAAATATTGATTGCAGACCGATATCATAGAAACACTGGCTCACTCATACTGTATGATGGACTCATGATTGCACTTGTATGTAAGCAGTGACTATTGCATGTAATTGAGTGTGTTTAAGTACTCATCTACTTACTTGTCATCTAAACACATACAAAATGCAAACCTCTAGACTTACGGTTAAATTGTTAACAGTAAGCTACACTGTCTACTGCATACACCTTCTTTATTATTGGGTTGGGATGGGTTGGTCTGGTCAAAGGAATAATGTTAGCATAACATGATCAGTTTATATCAGCAAATAGTATTCTACATGATATTAGAATATAAATGACTATATTATTTTTATTGTAGTAATAAATATTATCTACCTGTTAAAGTAGTGATTTCCACTGCCTCTTTATTCCAAAGTTTTATTGTTTTATCCGCAGATGCTGTAGCATAGGTGCTATTATGTAGTTCCACCACTGCCCATACTGCTGCTTGGTGACCCTTCAGGGTTATGGGAACTGCATTAGGATTATTTAAGTTCCAAATTTTTGCCGTACTATCCCAACTAGAGCTGTAAGTATTAAAATAGTCAATACAAATGTGTGTTTATCTACATTTTCCTAATATTTAAATGAAATTAATTAAATAACTCTTCATTATGAAAAGAGTCATAGAAAAAATATAAAATGTACAAAACATGTTATTACTATGAGCAATACATAAAGGTAACAATAGGCAGCCTTAATAATATGAAAATATAGTTAAAATGTTACTGATTAAAATTATTTTAAAGAACATATTATAGATTTTGTCACTTTAAAATAGGTAAAAACAGTAGATATAACTCATAGTAATTGCTCATAACATGTTATGTACTTGTGAAATAAATATAGCTAATTTGGGTCAAACCACACATAATCTAGAAAAATAGCTTCAGTTTTGTTGTCTTTAATTTTAATTATTTAAATTAGGTGAGCTATTGCTACATTCTGTAATAATAATTACATGTAAAAGCTAAAACGTAAGCATATATGTAAAAAAATGATTGTTACCTTAGTAGAACTCCTGAATTCAATCCTGGAACAACACTACAAACTGCATTCTCATGGCTTTCTAAAGTGAATTGAATCATTCCATCCTGAAGATTGTAGCCTAATATCGTGTTATCGTTGCTTCCTGTCACCACTAGACCTTCGTGGAATGCTTCACAAGGCGAAATCCAACATACACAAGATACAAAGTTCTTGTGACCTTTATAGGTGACTACATTAACGAAATCCTTTATTCTGTACAAGGAATAATGGATTATGATAGAAAGTATTTGAAATCATATTTTTTTAAAGTTATTGTTAATATTATTAAAAATATACTAACCCTTCGGGGTGCCACAACTTTGCTGTTCTATCCCGAGAAGCAGATAATATACAATTTTCTTTTGTTATGGTCACACACCGTACATCCATTGAATGGCCATTTAAAATTGCACTTAACTTATAATCTGGTATAGCCATTGCGAATTACAAATATTTGAAAATTATACACCAAATGGAAATTTCAGAAACAACTCAAAATACAATTGTTGCGGTAAAAAAGTTGTGAAATCATGTTGACTTGACTGATTGATTGACGTTCAGATCTTAATGTGATGTGAGTGACACGAAAACCACAGAACAATAACGTAATATGTGCTGAAATAAAAATAATTCTTTTATGAAACATCGTAGTTGGAGATTTTGTCTCCTTTCCACTTAGGTAGGGAAATACTTGAAGTTCGGAACAATAACAATTATTTCTTATATATTATTCCTATAAGTAGGGAAGTGAAACACAACGCCATTACCTGCATCAAAAATATTTTATTTAAAGCATTTACATAACGTACTTAGTAGTTTAGAAGAATCATACTGTTTTTCATTAGTACTAACTACAATTCATAAAATATATGTAAAAATAAGTGCTTGTAATTCTAACGTAATAAATTTATTTAACTGATTCGATGTAGATATTTGATAATAAATATATATGTTATATAATAAGTAATTTGAATATAACGTACAATTAATTTAATATAAGTTCTGAGATTCATCGTTACGGACCGATAATAATAGTAGAGTTAATATGTTAGATACAGCATTTTGATATACTTTGAAATATAATGGTTTTAGATGGTAGTATAACATTTATGATATTTATAGTCGAATTTCTGTCGTAACTCTATCAACTGGTACTGGAATACTGGAATAATTCTTCATAGAATTTCCTAACCCTCCGATTGAAAAATAAGCGAGACAGAAAACACAAACCTTCATATCGCCTAAAACTTAACCGAGTCTAAATAAATATAAACTTAAATTGCATCTTTTATTGTTAATAGAAATTGATAAACTTTCTGATAATTTACTCCAGTTTTTATTTACTATCTATTTTTATTATTACAGTTACAGTAATATAATTTTAATATTTATGAACGCAATAATAATTTCAAAAGTTCGGCATGGTTACCAATGTAATAACAAAATGGCGCTAATTTTAAATTTTTAATACACTACAGTTTAATTAATTGTTTAATAATTATTACAATAACTATTTTATAAGAAGAATAATATATAAGGACTTACATTTACTTCTCTTGATTATTATATTAACATTTTAGGAAAATACAGTATACTTTCTGCATTGCTTAAGGAGTACAATAACAGCATTTGTAACCATTTTATTTTGCTTAATGTCATTGTTATTATTCACTAATTACATTTTGTTTTAGAACAACGAAAATAATAGATATATAGAATTATACCAGAGTAATTATATATTTTTTGCATCCTATCCTTTGTCACATTGCGGCGCCAGTGTGACCGGTGGATTGAGCTATAGATACTCATCGTACATACACATACGTAGTGGAAAAATGGCGTCAACTGTGTGTGTTTCTAGTTGCCGACTCTTATCAAAATTAGAAATAAATCGTGTTTTGTGTTTATCACCAATATTTAGAGATTTGTCAAATAACCGGGTGAGTTTCTAATGTTTTCTGTGCTTTTGTGTTTTTATATGGTGGTATTTCATATAGAACCGTTGATTTTAGGACTTTCTTTCGCCCTGCACGTGTATATACAGTGAGTATACGCATATACTGCAGCTGTCAAACGTCATCTAATTTGTTTTTATTTTTGTTTTTACATTATGTACATTCTATATCACTTTAAAATTACTTTCTGTAAATTATATTGTTGACAATGGGTGCGTTCTGTAATATATAAAATAAAGTGTGAAAAGTAGTAAATAAATAAGTACTTCATAGTTAACAAATTAGGTAAATATTAAGACAAAAATATACATAATATTTATACATATGTAATTTGAGTATAAAGGAAAATTTTTGCTTTTTTATGAGTACTAAATAATTTTAATTTAAAAGTTATGAATTATTTCTTTTTAATCTTGGCTATTAATCATACAATTAACGGTAATTTAGTCATGACTGATAAGATGAGTAATAGTTGTCTCATATTCATAGCCTTTTCTAAATCTGGTTCTATATGATTTAATTAACTATATAATTTAATATTATTATATTTATAATATAAAAAAAATTTTTTTGGTTAGGGAACTAAAATTAATATCCTGTGTATTCATAATCAGTTTAGGTACAGATAATAAAGTAGGTACTATACTTTAGACATAATAGGCAAGTAGTAGTATTCTTGGAAATGATTGTTATAAAGGGAAGTAATAATAAAGTGGCATCATTTTGAAAACCAGTTATTATCCCACTGTTGGGCATACTACTATTACCATTTATTTCCTACTATATTATTAATTTGAACAGGTGGCTTTATATTTTGTTTTATTTTTAATTTATATTCTCAAAACAGTATATATGTAAGTTGTTATATAATTTGTTTTTTACTTTATCTAAGTATTAATAAGGAATTAAGCTAATTGTATTCTTATTGGCACTACACAGAGGTGGAATTACCTTACTTGTGGTATTTTTAGAAGAGGGTAAAAATTTAAATTCAGCATAATTTTCTATAATTAGTTATTATAGAAATATAAACTATTCATAGATTTAGAAAACATGATAGCGAACATGTTTTTAATTGTATTTGCAGTACCCTCATAATATTTATATGTAAGAAATTATGTAGGGTACCTTCTGTAATAAATGTTCTATTTCTTTGTTACATAGGTAATAAATAATTTTATTATGTAGGTAAAATGAAATATTTATTTTTCTAATAATAATTGTAATAAATGTTCCATAACGAGCAAAACAGAAATGTATGCAGTAATTATTAAAACCCTTTATAGAAATATCAAACACTGATGTTTTTTTTAATAACATTATTATATATTATACTTAATGTTAAATTGTAGTTTACTAGAGAATTATTATTTATTTGACATAAAATGCTGTACTCTTAATCTTTGTGATGATTTGATGAATGCAATAAGGTCAGAAATATATCATTATTTATTTAGTTCATTGCTCTCCACTAAATATCTAGGTAGGTAGATGTTGTGTTTATCACAATGTATACACAATGTTTACAAATAACTTTATGTTCACTAAGTTTACAGTTTTCAATACACCATCCAATAATTGCTTTATCTATTGCTATCTTGTTTACAGTATATTGTAAACAATAAATGTTATATAATTTAGTTAATTGTGATTTATAATGAATCATGGCGTTTTTGATAAGTTCTGCCTGTTACATTATTAGGTGGCGATGTTATGTACCTATTTAGGAATCCTGAAATATCTTTCGCCCATATTTTGTTAAAAGTAAATATCGTGTCGGTAGTAAATATAGCAACAACTTTATATATGTAGATCTATATTTGTTAAGCCTGAGACAAACTTCTTCCAAGGATTCACCGTGCGGGTGCCGGGTCCAACATGTAGCAGAGAGTCCAGCATGCACTTATCGGCAAAGGGGTCTCTTAAATCTACACCCGGGTTGGTTGTAGATTTAAGGGACCCCTTTGCCGACGTACGTCGTCACTCACCTTTACCGCTCGTTTTTCTCTCCCTACCCAGCAATTTCTGATAAGAGTTTGCTGGTACTGCTTTAGATACACGTTCTAATGTAAAAATAACTGCAGTTCTAGACAGACCAAGATCTAGAAGATTGTAGAGAGGTTTTGCTAGTATACGTATTGTATTCTCGCTTCTACTTCAACGGTATATAAATGAACCTCTAAATAATTAATATTTAATAAGTATGAGTATACGAATACATATCTAAACAAAATAAATAATATATAGATAATAAAATATTTAGGTATCTATACATACATAAATATATTCAGAAACATTTCAACCCAGGCGTACATTATCAAAGGATTATAATAATAAGTGCGTGATACATAGTTGCGGGATTAAGGACACCGCAAACTATATTATTAATGTTTGTCTCGGCATAAAAAAATATACAATATAATATACAATAATAACATTGGCAAGATTTGATAACGCATGTACAGAAACCAAGAAGTATATCAAGTTTTTGATGCTCCGATCCTAGGATCCTAGAGGAGTAATCCACTTTATTTCCTGAGTTTGTTATAAAATCTCATATTTGTAAGCGGCAGTCTGCCAAGTAAGCAGGGTTTTTATCTTTCGGCGTTCTCTGCCTATATCGTAGGAGACGTAATGTAAAGAATCCATACCTACTCATATTGTAAATTCGAAAACGCATCTGTCTGTTAGTGACAGTGCTGTCTTTATACAGCTAAACGGCGAACAGATCTTAATGAAGTTTAATATGAACTAAAATTGCATCACAAGGACAATACAGTAAATTTTATCTCAAGAGAGCAGACTAAGTGGCGGGTATAGCCAGTGCCGTATATATCTTATGCATAATTCTTTAATTAGCTTATTTAGGACACCTGTTATACCTACTAATCGAATCTCGCAGTTTCGTCTACTCAGGTTTCAATTATAATAGATTACTCATCATAAATTAACAGCCAACACAAATATCTTGTCTGTAGGTTGCCTAAAGCCTTTACAATTCCAACATAAAATTGAATAAACAAAACTTCATTGATTAAAATGCATCATGTCGCATAGGTTACACGCTGCGTGAAATATATATATATCTTATTATACCTACATGCATACTGTCTATGTTATTTTAAGATACCTAAGTAAAGATATTATGTTAAAATTGGCAGTCAAATCTTATTCAAAACTAATTGTATGCCCTGGCGTCGCACCGGTGTATGTATTATTGAAAAAAATGAGACCTGTTAATATTTCAAATTTGCCAATAATTTTCTTTGCATTCGGAGTTTTAATTCAAACCTTCACACGGTGTTTCTAATATTTTCTCTCGCAGGTACAAAGTATTGTCTTAAAAACTAAAGAATTAGACTGGTTGGAATTAGAAGGTATGAAAACGGAAAATGAAAACAATCATAGGAGAAAAGTAAAAAGTCACCACAACACAAGTGACACATGCTTATTACAAAAATAATAATTCTATAAAAAATAATAATATATAAAAAAGATAGAATTAGCCAGGGAGAGGCGTATATTACGAGGTAATGGAGATAATAGCCTCGTTGTCAACTAATGTACTAGCTGCTAGCCTGATCGACCACAACATGGTTCCCCTAAAATCTATTGTGGTTAATTTCTGGTGTAATCGCCACGACGGTTTAAATGATCTGAACTCATTATTCCTTATTCTAACATACTCTACTGATGATTCGCTAGTTTAAACCGCACACATAGGCGGGCCCACAATTCTATATATTCAATATTAAAAAAAAGAAAAAATGTATTTTCGAGTAGGTTACCTACATATATACAGCCATGTCGACGTGAAGTTCTATAGTGGTATATCAAGCAAGATACAAATCATTGTATTCATTCAAACATGTGGCACTAGGTAAATGGCCAGAAAAGTTTGTTATTAGGTTTTTGTCCTATCTCATTACGCGCTTCAAGCACGACGGATTTACTCAATCAGAAGTGGCCAAACAGATAAAAATAAATGTGTGACGATGGTCTCTTCGTATGTTACTCGAAAATAGATGTAACGTTGGTCGAAGTTTAGAAAAAAATGACAAACAAAACATGAAAAATGTCGTTACGGCTATTTGACTCCTACATAATATGGTTCATCTTTTACTGCTTTTATACAAATATTCTAAGGTGAGAGAATTTTGTTATGAGGAATTAATTTACTCTAGAAACACAAGTCATTTTAGAAATTGTTTCAATCTTTATCTAAAGATAAAGGTTTGGTTATTCCACGATGATATAGGCTATATCATATATTATGAAATGTATTATAATTAAATAACAAAGTTAAGTACTCGAGCGAAGCTGGGGCTGGTCACTAGTTTATTCATAAAAACGTTGAATAGATACGATTTTTTATTAATTTGATTGAATCACTGTAAATGGGTTTATTGGAGATTTTAGAAGTTATAAATAAGAAGACAAACGGCAAAATATTCTATTAATTATATTTTTTAAATTTGCGTTAAGTCATCGGAATCTTTTGTTATATAATTGAAATGGGAAACAAACCACATGATAACTGTCGCCTACATACATGAACAGCGCTGCGGCTGTTGCATCGTGTTTTCATGTGACAATCGTGATCTGCTCATGCTGCCATGTTGTCATGCCATTATACTTGATGGCTCATATACTGTAATTTTTCATTATCTCAACTTTTAAACGAAATACAGCTAACAAAGCAAGCTGTTTGGCGTCTGAAAAAGACAACAAAGGTCTTTTATAAAGTCGTATCTCGGTATAAATTCAGAATTTAAATATACATTGTCATTTACGGCTTTAGCTATTTTACTGTTATCTACCGTTTAGGTCAAGAATTTATGTTAGCGAGAAGTCCATTATATTATCTGTCTTTTAAGAGACAACTAAAGAATAAGAATTCATGAAGATAATAGTAATTTACCGTCTTTTACTGAGACAATATGTAAAACTAAAATTAAATGCATGAAACAAAATATTTCTTGGATCACAATAACACGGATTAAAAATAATGAGCACAAAAATGTAAATAATATTATTTAAATGATTACTAATAAGTATTTTTTATAATTATAACTAGCTGTGCCACGATTTCACCCGCATTAAAGTTCAATATAAAATATATTTTATGTGTAACTCTGATGCATAAGTTATATTACTGTAAAATTTCATCAAAATCCGTTCAGTAGTTATTGCATGAAAGAGTAACAAACATCTGTACTTCCAAACATTCGCGGTTAATAATAACATTAAGATTAAGATAATCTAATGTCTGTCAAATTTATTATATCACGTAGACGTCTAATTAAATGCATCGCCATGCTTACTCTATTAGCTTCTTTCATTTCCTATGACTGTAAATTTGGATAAGGATCTCAACTGAATAATATTATTCTGAACACATATGTCCTATAAATTTAAAGGTCGTGTGTACAATATATGTTCTACCAAGTTGTAGGTATAGGCTCTTGACCCCCATATCCTGTGTATAACTCGATTTGACTTCACCTCGTATGCTGACGAGTCAATCAAATGGAGTTACCTCAGTATAATTTCACTTGTTCTATACACTTGTATTATATATTGCTAACTGATGCCTGTGATGATATCTCTTCTGCATAGTAACAGTTATTCGTTACTCGTATAACTCTATTTTTCGATTAGATGAGTGAAAATAATTTCTCAAGTAATCGATAATGCTTACATGAGAAATTATTTTCTCATGAAACTTTTTACCCTGTTTTACCTTTTTGAAGTTTTGATTTCGTTTAGAAAATTAACCTTTAAGAGTCTCCAAGGTTTCATCTATATTTATAACAAAATTCGTGACAACTGAACGAACTGCTTTGAGCGTGAAAGTGTCACAAATAAACACACTTACGCATTTATCATATTAGTTATTTTATTTTATAAAAAATATCTTATGTTTCGATTAATTAAAACAAGCTTTCCGTAAAATTGATAACGTCTGCCAAATATCCAACAGAGTTATGTGTTTTATTTAAATAGTGACCCTGTGGTGAGCTGAACAATGATATATTTTGTATGAGAGGATGGTGGACCATAATTTACAAAAGTGGATAAATGCAGGTACTTGGAGAGGAACCTTGGTAAGATTATGTGCCATCTGTCGAATCGATGCTCTGAAAGCGACCTATAGACTTGAGTATAAAAAGGCATATAAAGTTATTGTATATAAAAGCAGGATTTATATATTAAGATAAAGCAAGTAGGGTTTTTGGTAGGGTTTTTAAACTAAAACTAAATAAATATTTTTTTCAGTGGTTACTACGTTCTTATATAACTGTTTTGCCTTTGTCTTGGCAAAAATCGATTTAGCTGTATGTGAAGTGTAAATGCCAATGTATACTTGGTAGTTCTTATATCCTCTGCATTACGCCTATATTTGTATAATATGTCACACGTACAAATTCTTCCTACGCTTTAGAGTTTATATGTGTGACATATAAATTATGAAGGGTAGGAAACGTTTCAGGCCATAAAATGGAAAACCTATAAAGTGAGTTATCAAGTTTTTCTCGCAGGCCACAGATTCAATATTTATTGAAGTGAAATAGGTAGGTTCTAACGTAATTGTTTATGTAACAGGAGTCATGGTGCCGACGGTGGCGGCCCGTCCGCCGCTCCTTCTTCACAAGTGTATGCGTGCACGGATCCAGAACTGCATCTACAAAAGTTGACCACGAAAAATCTGACGGTAAGTAGGTAAAAAAAACATGTGATATTTTTGACAAATATAATCATAATTTTTCGTAGCTAGTTATTAAACCATCACCAGGTTATAGTTAGGTTTGATCTGGAGTGTTACAAGACTTTATAATTTAAAAAGAATAAATCTAAAATTAAATTAAATATAATGACTAAGCTAAGTATTCATAACAGTAATATAATTACTAGCAATAATTTAATAGCGTTATTTGAATACAGATCACAATTTAAGTAAGCGAAGCTTATATTAACATTTTATTAATATTACTTTAGAGACTTATTGCTATTTAAACTATCGTAACAGGATTCTAAAACTTCAAATTCTTCAAATACCATTTCCCCAAATTTTCCCGGTGTGGTTTTTCCTTGTTCTAAATTTTCATTTACATAATAAAACTTTTTTTCAAAACTATGTGGGTCGGATGATGTTTTTTCTCCCGGTATTATAACTTTGCTAGTTTCTTGTTCCTGTTCATTTGAATTATCTTTCATCTCTATAGTAACTGTATCATATTCGTTGTGAGACGTGTCATTTTTCTGCATGCTAAAATCATTATTTAGTTTTACGTCATGTATTGTTTTTAATTTTTTTTTATCCTCTTCATGATCTTTATTTTCAAAAGGCGTTTTTACAATTCCTTTGCTGTAACTTTCCAATCTACAAATTTTATTTTTAACAGAGTTTTCATCATCACCCACTAGTGGGGGGTCGTCTATTTTAAATGGCTGCTTTCTAAATTTGTTACGGAGATTTTTATTGTCATCGGTTCCAGTTAATTCTAACCGACTACTGCAACTATTTGACTTTACCAATTTAAACTTAAATCCAGGGAAGCCTTCAGTACGTTTAGCATCTTGATTACTCATTGATTCTGATGACGATTTAAACAAACTACTCGATTGCTTTTCTGTCAGCATTTCTTTATGCTTATCAGCTATTAGACATGAGCATTTATTACCTCGGCATTTGGTTTGGCATGAGTAGCAGTCCCTACTGCAATTTTTTTGTAAACTCTTAATTTCTTCCATTATAGCCTTAGTCATAGGACTTACTGTAGAGCCGGTTTTTGAATTTAATACCTTTCCTCCATAGTACGTTATAGAAGTTCCGCATTCTCTTATTTTTCTTAATATATCTGGACTCACATATTGACTTTCACAACACAGATCTTGATTCATTGAATCACATAAATATTCATCACTTGAACTGTATACGTTATCCTTCAGATTCTTTTGTGAATAAGGGCTCAATCCATCAGTTTCATATTCATTATTAGAACTAAGATCTCCACTCGACACGCCGCTTGAAAGACTAGCGTTATCCCATTTTTTGTTACCGAAATTTGTATCAATTGTTAACTGACGAATTACTTTCTTTCTTCCACCCATTTTGTTTCCTTTAGATTCTTCATTTAAATTTCTGTAAGAAGTAGCTCTTCTTGTTAAACCAATAGATTCTTCAACTAATGGAGGATCTTGGCTCATAGGACTTTTCATTTTCAAAGTATCTTCGAAAAGATTTCTTACTTTTTTTACTGTATCTGGATTTGGTAGCTCTTCTTCTATTATTTCTTTATTCACTCTAATAGGATGGTAAAAAAAATGTCTGCGTATAGCATTTTTTGATTTATCAACCTGTCCTGAGTTGTTATCATTTCTCTTAAACAGCGTGGGTGGAATTTTACAAGTATCTGGATTTTGATTTTTCCTCGGTACTGGTTCCACTTTTGTTCTAACAGGCTCTATTATCACTATATTATTGTTGACTAAGAGTTCTTGAAAACTGTAATTTTGTAAATATTGCAGTAACCCATCAAATTGGGCTTCTTTTCGATAGTTTGCTATCATACTATTTTTAAATAGTTCTGATTTCATTACTTTATACCGAACATGGTCAAATTCATCACAACCTTTTTCGTAACTCTTGGCTTTTATTAGTGTAGCTTGAGTTTTTTGATTTTGGTTATCCTCACATGTTAATTCCACAATTTCTATTTCCGGCGTATCTCTACATTCTAATTCAGCAGGTTTTGGCCTTGGTTTGTCATAAGTTATTTCTTCAGGATTTTTCATAATTTTCTCTGTAGGTCTCTCTTCAATTTCAGAATCACTTTTTACTTTTTCCGTTTCGTCTTTCCATAGGTTTAACTTAGATTGACTTATTTTTCTTATACTATCTACAATTTTTACATTTTCTAGTGATTTAATAATACTTCCCACTGATAATTCAGGTGACGGCCAATTACCGTCGGTATTACTTTCCTTTCTATACGTATTTGTATTAGTTTCGTTGTTACTGTACATTGTTTCGTTTTGATCTATTTTAATATCTTGTTTAATATTTTCTTTTGATTCTGATCTTTTCTCTATAAGTCTTGACCAGTAATTTTTAACTGAATTTAATTTTTCTTGATACTCTATATCTGTTTTTATTGCATTATGTAATTTTTCTTTCGCTTCACTGCATTCCTCATGCTTATCTGTTGTTATTTCTGATTTTCTGACATTGTTTTGTGTTTCGTTTTCTTCTCTTATGTTATGTTTCTCTGTGTTAACTGGCGCATCTTGTTTTTTGTTTTTTGAATCTACAACTTGCAGAATTTGAGGTCGCGTCATATTCGTATTTGATTTTTTAAAGTTTATTACAGAGTAATCTTTACAACTTTTTAAATTATTATCTTTAATTATTAATTTGCGGGGTGGTTTTTCGAATTTATATTGAGCACAAGAAATTTTATCACTCGTATCCTTTTTGAGTTTTGGTATTGTGGTTTTGACCACCTTATTTAGTTTTATAGTTATAAAAGGATCTTTAGGAGTATAATAACTGGAAGTATCGACTGAGTTGTAACTTATGACCTCGTTTGTTATTTTATTAGCTGTTTTATTTTTTTCAAATGAATCCGGGTTTTTATTTATAAATTCTGCTGTAGAAGTTTCACTTATAATTTGTTTATTTAGTTGCGATTCTTCTGGTTTTGTGCTTGATTTATTTTGATTTTCACACGAATTTTGATTTAACGGTGGGTTAATAACTATGGTTTGATGACCACTCAATGGTACCAAAGCTATATTAGATTCAGCGGATACCTTGAATGATTGAACTCGAGATAACAGAGACTGAATATTATCTTCGTTCTGGGCAACTTGATTTATTTGCGTGTCCTTAGATTTATTGATGGTATTTTCTACGGTACTTGGACTTGGAATACGATTTATATCATCATCTACAGGATCTCGTTGTCGCAGTGAATAGTGCTTTTTGATCCCGTATCTTTTTTTTTCTTGTATTGAATTATTTATGTTGTCGTTTGATAACGATTTTATTCTATTGATTTCTGGCTTATATATAGAATTTGTTATTTTTAAACTTTCAGATTTCGTTATAAGTTTATTGTTGCGAATAGTTCCTTCTATTTCATTTATTTCTCTCTCATTTTGGTGGGTGTCTGAACTATAATAAATTGCGTCTTTATCATCCCGATTAGAACTTTCAACTGTTATGATAGAGTTCAAGTCGTCTTCTAGTCTTGCAAAACTGTTTATTATATCTGTATCTGAATATTGTGCAATACACGGAGTAATAATATGTTTTATGTTATTATCGCTATTGATTTGCGATTTATTTAACTGACCATAATTTTGATTGCCTTTGTTAGATAAAATTTCATGAAAATGCGTATGCGCTATTTCGTAGGTATTTTCACAAGGTACATCTTCTGGGTCTTCCTCGCGTAATTGCGCATCAATGCGTTCTGACTTTCTTAAGCATTTACTTATATTAATATCGGGTAAGGAGTAGTATTGATTTTCTATTAATGTTGTTACAAATGGCTCAGTTGTTATGTTTTTGGAAGAGGTACAGCTACTTCTTACAGAATGTCTATCGTTGTCTAAAAATGTATTACTGACGTAAATATCTTCAGGTTTATTTATATCATTAAATAAACTTCCACTTTTGCTTAGGAAGGAATCTCTTTTAATATCCGCGAAAGTTTGTTTTTTATTTACTTTTGTGTATATAGTATCACTTTCCCCGTTATGGTTTTCAGAATGTACAGTTCGTGAAGTGACAGATATATTCTCTTTAAATTGTGAATCGCAGTATTCATCAATTTTTTCAGCTAATGAATTAGCAAGATACTCTAATTTATGAGACTTATCAGCAGAAGAAGCAATTGAAATAGATATATATGACGTTATACTATCGGGAGGGCTCGATCTAATTTCATCGTTCTCAGAGGCTACTGAGTGTTCGTCTTGTTCAGTGTTAAGTACACTAGACTTATTTAATTCTTCAGTCCTATTTTCATTACCATTTGTTATAGTTTTGATAGATACTTCCGCATATGAATTTCTATCGTTAATGGTTTCAAGCTGACTTGAATGTTGTTCGTCCTTTTCACTATGTGCTATTGATAAGCTATCGTTTGTTAGAGATTTAAGAGTGTTATTTTTAGACCTTTGAGTGTCATCAATATCAGTATCATGATCATCAGTTGTTACATATAATTCTTTACTACAATTTGGGGATACAGCAGATCGCTCTGTTTCAGGAGAAGTATTATCCTTGTAATGTTTCCGATGTGCTTCGAAATTATAATGTTTCCTTACGTAGTTTGAGTCTAAACTATCGATTTCGCTCGGGTTGCGTGAGTGCCCGATGCTATCTTCGGAAAGATTCGTCTGTTTTGTTTCTTCGTTTAAATTAGGCCAACTCCCACTGACAGATCTAGTGCGATGGCTCCCGTTTCTTGATGGGGCGTCTTCTTTTTCGGACTTGTTACTTGATGGCTCTTGTTGAGTTTCACTATCTCTATGTCCGTTAATATCGCCAAAACATGAGGCAGTACTGTCAATGTAAATACTTTCTAAAACTTCTTCTTTCGTTTGGTATTTTGCACGTCCAGGTAACCTGAAAAATACAAGAGTAATAGTCTTCAGTCTTAGTACTTTATTATTATTAATAAATTTAAATAGTACTAATTA